GAAAGCGTATCCTGAGCTGCATCAAGAGCAGTGTGGGCAGCAGGTCGAGGGACGGAATCCTCCCCCTCTGCTCCACTCTCATGAGACCCCACCTGCAGTGCTGTGTCCAGCTCTGGGGTCTCCTACATAAGAAGGACATGGACCTGCTCAAGCGTGTCCAGAGGAGGGCACAAAGATGATCAGGGGGCTGGGGCACCTCTCCTACAAAGACAGGCTGAGAGAGTTGGGGTTGTTCATCCTGGACAGAGAAGGCTCTGGGGAGAGAGTGGCCTTCCAGTACTTAAAGGGGGCCTGCAGGAAAGTTGGGGAGGGACTCTTTATCAGGGGGTGTAGGGATAGGATGAGGGGTAACAGTGGGTAGATTTAGATTAGATCTTGGGAAGAAATTCTTTACTGTGAGGGTGGTGAGACACTGGAAAATGTTGTCCAGACAGGCTGTCATTGCCCCCTCCCTGGAGGTGTTCAAGGCCAGGTTGGATGGGGCTTTGAGCAGCCTGGTCTGGTGGAAGGTGTCCCTGCCCATGGCAGGGGGGTTGAAACTAGATGAACTTTAAGGTCCCTTCCAACCAAAACCATTCTGATTCTGTGATATGACTTATATTGTTGGGATTCTAGAGGGCTTTCTGTGAGAGAATGGACATGTGAGCAATCCTGTGTGAGAACAAGACGGATAAGAGCCTCAGCCTGAGCAAGAATGAGATAAGGATGTGACCCTGAATGAGGGGGGAGAAACTCGACGAGACAAACAACCCCCAGAAGTCAAACAACCCCCAGAAGCCTGGCAAGGCTGATGTGGCACTTTTTATCCAATCATAAGAAGGTTTAAAGCGCAGGCTAAGTTAACTGTCCAATCTTGAGGACTTGTACAGCATGTTACTCACGTGTGTGGGAGAACATTATAAAAGGGTTTTCTTAGTTATAATAAACAGGCATTGCTTGATCACATTGGTCGTGTGCGTGCTCAGCTCTCCTGCATAATCTGAATTTCAGAATGTACATTAACTAGTGAGGAATGATGTAAGACTCAGGCTGACAGAAACATAGTCAGAAGAATTTGAATTGTAGAACTTTTGTAAGAATTTAGGATTTTCTAAAAGAAATCAGATGCAGAGATTGAGCATACATCCCCAGCTAATGTTCAAGCAATCTGAAGTACATATGAGCACAACTATTATGTTCTGCTTCTATCTTTTTTCTTTTTTAAAAAAATCTGTTCAGTCATGTTATGGTCTGTAATGTCTACTGTAGAATTTAGTATTTAAGGGAAGCATCATGGCCATCATTCAGTGCTTCAAATCACTGTATTTTCCCACAGGATTTGAATTAATTTTATATAGTTGAATTGACATAAGATACACTGCATATGCTCCTTTTGGTATGCACATGTATAGTGGAGGTGAGTATTCTGCCTTTGGGATAATGTGAGAACTTGACATCGAGCTTGAGCCTGGGGACACATGTGGCCTGTTTTTCACTTTGGCCATATGAATCCAGTTCAAGAGAGAATACTGTAATTAAGTTTAACTTTGAGCCACATTTAGACAAAATATAACTGGCAGTCTTGTCAATAATTTTAATAAAATCATGCTTCCTGTGCTACCAATGATATTTCACAATCCTTTTAATGCCAACTGTAACTAAAAATATATCAGTAGTTCTAAAAAGTGGATTGGTTTAAGTGTCTGAAGGAAAGAACAAAGTGTAATTTTTAATTTTTTTTTTTGAGGGGTTTTTCAAAATTTGAAAGATAGGTCACCTTGTTTAGAGTTGTATAGTCTGTATCTTATTTTTGGCAGTGGACAGTAGCAAGTATTCATAGAAATAAAAGGAAAACAGTGTTGAACTCTGATATGCCTTCCCATCTTGCAGGAATTGGCAATTTAGGAAGTCCCTGAGAAGGAATTTGCCAAGGATTGTTTTCAATAGCAAACAGTGGACCTGTTTTCTATTATTTTATTGAAGTCCTTTATGAAATGATTTGTGCCTTTGTCTTCCACAATGCCCTGTGGGAACCAAATTCACCATTTAATTACAAGATCTTTGAAAAAAATATTTTTTTTTTTCAAAGCTTCAGTTGTTTAAGGAGCACAGTCTCAGATCCTGGGAAGAAAAGGAAATATTTTCTTCAAAATGTGCAATCAGTTCAATTTGAGTGGAGTGATCATTGCTTTGTCACAGAGTAATTTGTTTTTAGGTAAAGGCATGTTCTGCTAAAGTATTGGTCTTTTCAGAGGTGGAGGCTTAGTGCGTGACACTGACTGTTGAAATGAATTTTGTTTGTAACATACATAAATGCTTGCAGGACCAGGGCTTTATACATTCCTGTTTAAATATTTCTTAATTTACTGAGTTTACCATGAGTGTTAAATGGGTTGTATTTGTTACATGACAAGGATATTATTTATGCTGGTTTTAGCATACCAATGAATAAACATATAGCACTGTATTTCTGATGACCTAGTGTACTACTGTGTGGTAGACTCTTCCAGTGTACTAACTTCCCGAAGTTATCAACCATTTAAATGTAAAAAAAAAATAAATCAATTCAACATATGTTCAGTACTGTAATTAGTGACTGTGACTATGCAATTCTGAATTTATCAAGTACCTTTAAGGCATGCCAGAGCTCATGGGCATCATAGGAAGCAGGTGGATACATCAAGCCAACCATGACCTCTTTGAAGTGATGAGAGAGATTCTCTTTGAGGTCTGTAATCAGATCCTTGAAATGAAAAAGAAAATGCATAGACAGGATTGTTTCGTCACAATTTATGAAGATAGTTTTAAAAAAGTATTAATGGTTTTCTCTGTAAATGAATAAAGATGAACTGTTGAAGATGAATTCTGCCTAAATTAAGAAAAATATTATTTTAAATAGTACCCATTTCTTCTAATAGTATGAGTGAGATGACCATAGACACATAAACCAGTAGACTACATAGGACTGTTGATTTTTGGTTCATTAGAATGCAGAAGAAAATTATGGCATTTAAGTGCAACTATTACCTAAAGGCCTGGAAGCCTGAATACCATGGCAGCTTCCATTGGCATATTCTTTGTGTGAATCTGTGAGTGCTAAGCACCTTTGGAAGTGAAATCCCATAGAACACAGGCGATTTCTTGTCCTTTTTTCAGTGTTACTCACTATGTGAATGATTTAAAAAAATCATCCACTCCTAGTACATAAAAATATTTGCCTTGGATTACTGGAAGGTTATGTGTTTCAATTTATGTATATATTACGTTCAAACAGAATTCACTACTTTTGACAGATGCTGCATTAATAAAAAGGACACCGCCCCTTCCCTCTCATTTGTCTCTACTCGCTTGCCAGGTAGCTGAGTAATGGATGGGAGTTTCCTCATCACTCTTCCCTTTCCCAGTAGCATCCTTCAAAACACTGCAAATGCCAAAAGCTTGTTAGTTATTCTATTGTTGCTTCTGATTAAGAAGATACTGGTGCACTCATTGTTTTTTTTTATGTTTTGTGTACAGCATTAGGCAGCTGTCAGGTATGTTCTGACCTAAGTCTGAAATTAAAGGAACAACAGAAATGGTTCCCATGATATAAACTATTATGTTTTCAGAGCTGAGTCTTTTTCAGGCCTGTACTTTGATTTTGATACAAATCTGAATATAATTAAATTAGTAGCTAGAGTAGCAATGAAGGAGGACATATACACATTAAAAATTAAATTTATCATGAAGAAACATATGCAGTCTTTGGTGAATGCGCACTAGATGCATTTGACAACTACTAAATCACACATGGAATAGAAATTAATTCATTAAGACATTTCACTTCTGACAACATGCCTGTGGGAAAATGGATTAGTAATACAAATGGATACTAATTAAAAATTACTTCTGCAATCAGAACTAAGGGAAGTGAAGTACTGAAAAATAAGAAGAGACAACTCTAAGTTGTCATTATTAACATTTCCTAATTGTCTGCTATAAGAAATCCTTGAAGGCTAATTGTAAGAAGAAATCTTAAAGTTTGTCTGTATGTCTGAATCATGCAGCTAGTTCAGGGTTTTATTATTTTAAAAATATATATTTCTCCTAATGTGTCAAACTTTACATTTGTCAAATGAATGGTCATGATAGCTACCGTATTGAACAGACTGCATTGAAATTAAGAGGGTGAAGCATTCGATTGACAGACTTACCATAGATTAAACTGAGAAGGCTAAAATCGTATTGCCTAGCTGTCTGTCTTCTCTGTCCTGCAGAGTTTACTACTCATAAACTGGGACTGCCAAATCACACATTTGCCCAATGCAATATATCCATTTATACAGAGTACAGCCATTAATACAGATTACAGCCATGAAATGCTATCACTGATGTGTGCTAAAGTATCTTCTGAAGTGTAAACTGCAGCACTTTGGGGAAAGATTTATCCCATTGTGTTTGGCAGTTCTTTCCCAAGATTGCAAACTTTAGAGGAATCAGTCAAATAAACTGCATGGAGCACTAACCAGATTAGCCATTTCAGTATATCTGCTGTCACAGGTGAGACAAAAATTCAGCATTCCTGTTTCATCTGTGAACTAGATCAGAGTAATTTGTACTGACCTCTGTTTCCACATAGCAAACAGTAAAGCTAGACGTTTTTGTTTTTTTTTTAAATCTGTCAAGAGTATCTTGATAGAGCTTGTGCTATTACCCAGTGCTTAACAGATTCATTTAAATTAAAATTATGGGTGTATAAGCAAGATGTTCGATGAGTTTCAGAATTTTCTGTAGCCCATTGCTGGAATATAAAAATAGTTTGCTTGCCTTTCCTTTCTATTATTATTCATAGTTTTAGATATTGAAATTCTTAAAAATGACATCTGAGATTTTATTTGGCTTTTGTAGTTTTTCTAGATCTTTAGGTCCATGACCACTGGCTTTATAGCACTTCAGGTTGACTGAATATGTCTGAAAGGTATACATTTAAAGGTGAGGTATTTTTATAGGGATTTATTTATTTGTTTATATTTTTATTTTTTTTTTGGATTTGAAAATAAAATCCAAATAGATCAGGGATGAGCAAGTCAAGAATTGTTCTATATGAATACTAAATATGGCAAATCATAACTCTGTTCCTGAAGGATATCTGGCAATTCTTTATTGAGATATCATTGGTGTTATCTCTAAGACATCTTCATATATCAGACGGTAGAAATTAAAGATAAAAAATTATATGGAGCTTTTAAATGTTTATCCTTGATAGGTCTAGTTGAAACACTCCAGAGAAAAGGTTAAAAAAACCCATAGCCAGATCCTATGGATGAAGCAGAGAAGGAGCATTGTCCAGTGATTAAAGAGATAAATGAAGACTTGGAAAGAATAGGCTTGGCTGCTTTACAATCACAGCACCTTTGGGTAACTTAACATGCATTAGTTTTCTATAAGTAAAACAAACTCAATGAGGTTTGCAAGTGTAATGGTAATCTAATAAATACCTTGTAATAGAAAACCACTTCCAATCATTCAGATCGATTGATTTCAATCACTGTCAGTTTTTGGAAGGTAAGGATACCTGTGATTCAGTTATTGTTATTTTATGGTTTATTTTAAACATATCCATTCAAGGCTGCATCTAAAATATCACAAATATTGTGTTTGATTTTTGATAACAGACCAAATAAAGCCAGTGATCTCCTTTAGGTGAGTACCAGTAAAAAATTAACCCACTGCACTGATTAAATCCAGCTTTTCTCTTTTCCCCCTATTCTAGTAGAGTAAGGGGGTGTTTCAGCATAGAGGTCAGTGGTTATGAGGTATTTTGGTATACAAGTGGCACAAAGGCTGTCTCTGGAAAACTGCTTGGCTACTCAAAGAAGAAAATACACCCACTAGTTAACAAACTGGTGGTGTAACAGACTACCACATCAGCAGTTAATGTGGAGTTTTTGAATGAACCATTTCTAGTTAACTCTAATTAAGGCTAATGGTGGTGTGGTACTTTTCTGCAAACTCACTGTCCCCTTTCATGCTGATCAATCCAATGGCAAGCATACACTGACCTTCAAGGCATTTTCCAGGGAGCTGTTAGTTTTTCAGGCTTCAGGAAAGGAACAAAGCTAGATTTTGTTTAAAATGTTTGGCTGGCTTCTCTTAGGGGAAGGGCACATCTGGTCAATTTAATCACAGTATTTTTCTTTAGCTTTCCAATAGTATCTAGTTTCATACAGAACTTTTCATCACCAGATTTCACAGGGATTTTACAATAGTTGTTGCTATTATTTCCACCTTTATGTAGATGGGATAACTGAGGAAAATGCAGGCATTGCAACTTTCCTTCTAACTTTTGATTAGGAATAGTAGATCTGAAAATAAAATGTATATCTATCTCTGTATGTTTTAACAACTTGTTTAACAAAACTTACATTGTTATATACAGTAAATATGGATAAAATGCATTTGAAAAAAAAGCACTATCTTTTCATGTCTTAAAATTTTTGAAACACTTTTCAAAGATTCATAAATTTAAAATTAAGCAGCTCAGAGGAGTATTGTGCTTAATGTAGGGATGGGGTTATATGGTATGAGCTCTGAGAATTCAGTGCTTGAAATGGGTACATTAATCAGTGCATGGATAAGAGGCAACTACCTGTACTTGTTGGTTTGGTGTTTTTCTTTGGTGTTTCAACCCAAATACAATACTATTTTATTATGTATTCCAAAAACTTGAAAAAAAGTGATGCAGAAACTCCCCAAAGCATATAGAGAAAGAAAAATTATCCAGAAAGTCTGGTTTGGTCAATAGAAAAGGAGAATGAACTACAGAAGAAGAAACTTTCCATGTCCTTTTTTTAAACTTTGTGTGTGGCAGACATACTCCTACTGCTATATAAATGACTGTCAGAGGTGTTGATAGTTACATGAGCGAGGTTCTATGCCAATCTGTTGGTGACAACCTGCTGTCTGCCAGGCTTTTGGTTCCAGTGACTGACCTGAGAGAAGAGCTGACCAACCACCCTGGAGACAGAAGAGACAGAAGTAATGAAAGTACAAAATGGCTCTGTCGTACCCTGCCATACATGTCTCTGTACGCCTCGGCAATCATAACCCGCTGTGAATTGCAACGCTGTGTTAGGATATCAATCAACACATCTTTTTCACAACCTGTAAAGGAAACATGACACAGATGCTAAGTTTACAAAGTGTTGTTATTTACTTACGTTTGTGATTTTTCATGTTTTGTTCAAGAATATTAACGTAATTTATTGAAAAAAATAGATCAACAACATCAGTTATATTTACTGTGCTTATGTACCTTTCACTTGCTGGTGTAATACCAGCAAAAAGTGGTTTGTTATTAGCAGTTGCATCACCATCTCTCTCAAGCTCAATGGATTTGAAAGCATCAATAAAAGAGAGGCTTTCATCTATTCAGAACTAGGCACACTGGCAGAATTTGTGGCTGAGCCTGCGAAGTCATATTTGTATGCCCTGTTGATACTGATTAAATTGTCATTTCAGGATTAGGGATCCTTTTATGGGGATGACAAATTATGGTCAGATCATTTGTTGATAAATGGAAAGATGTATGTTTTCAGAGAAACTATGTAAAATAATTTATGAAGTTTTAAAAAATAGAGGATTTTAACCAATTTCCAAGGACATTTTGTTCAAGGTTACCAAGCTTGATTTGCCTGATGGCCAGAGCATACTGCTAAACTTCTATAATGAATCAGTATGTACTACTTATGAAAAAGAAGATAATGATTAACATATTTTGAAAACAATTTTATAATTTTTTTCTTTTCATCCGAGAACTTGGCTCTTGGTAATTGCAGATGCCTGAGAATTTTAATGACATTCCAACATTAATACATCTCCAAATGTAAATCAATTGTCTTTATCACACTTGTAGCAGAGTTGAATTAGGCTGGAAAGCAGGGGCATCAGCTAGCATCTGAATGGAATAGGGTAGTCTCTCAGGTTTCTGCCTGTCATTGTTATATAGGTGCATATATAAATATATGTTACAGATACATGTTCTGTACCTATTACAGCTTTGTTAGGCAGATTTTATCATATAATCTATAACTGACAGATTCCATTTTGACACAAATGTAATTGGACATTGAATATTTTTTTTTTTCACTTGGCAGAGGAAGTCTGTGTTTGCTTAGTATACACCAGGTTTAATTCTCTTTATTCTGGATCATCTAGCCAAAATTACACCAGCTTTTTAGCAGGACACTGATTTACCATCAGTCTGATTCATTTCCATGAAACTCATAAAATCGACATAGACTGAAAGCAAGAATTGTTTATGAGTGAAAGATAATAAATTCTTTAAACTTTCTACTCCATTTAGTTTTATTTCTTGATCACTGATTAAAAGACTTAACAGTCCTTAGTAATAGTTAATTACTGAAGTTACAATTAAAAACCTTTCCTTCACTGTAGTGACATAACACAGAATTCTGTTTTCTTTTTCTGATTTCTCAAGGAAAGCATTCATTACTGTAAGTGTTGGAATAGGTTTTAGATTCATCGCAATCACCTCTTAGTTCCTGTGAATGCAGATACATGATTTATTTGGACATCACCAGTGTATCTTATCGTGATACCTTGGAGAATCAACAGATACATGTTGACACTTCTAATTTTATGAGTTTTTATTTTGCCTAATTCTTGTTATTTTATGAGAGCTTTCTGAAAAAAAAAAAAAAGTTTTAGAATCAGTCAAGATACTCACTGATTCCCTGTAGGGCTCCTCCGAGCAACTGGGCATCCATAATAGGGTTAAAATTTGGAGCAGGAAAAATCGTTCCTTGTATCTGCTAAAGGAGAAAGCAGCCTTTAATTGAGGTGTTTTACATATATAACACTGCATATATAATTCTGTTGAAAACCAACAATCGTAACATTAAATTGTCTGCATCATGAGGAACAAGATACAAAATTTTTAATTTAAACAGAACTTAAAATTGCAGTAAGCCCTAGGAAGAGAGACCATATTTGAGGAAGTTTCCCCTAGCATGAGTTAGGCTTGAAAAAAAAGTAAATTTTAATACTAATTAATTTTTTTTTTCATTAAAAAATAGCCACACTTTTGTGTCTGTCTCTTTAACAACATTCTTCTGAAAATATTTTGTCTTTCAAAGTTAATCCATGATAATCCTGACAGTCTTTAGTATATATTTCTCATGGTATTTCTGATTTGAAAGGACTAGTGAGAAAATGATGAATGAGATACATAGGTAGCATGCAAACCTAGTGATTTTTTTTAAAGAAAAAATGTTACTGCTAGGTGTGAGATAGCTTTCTGATATGCCATGTAAGGCAACACCATTTTTCTAGTTGCTTTGTAACTGATTTAATAACTGTCAGTTCATTCTCAGTGATACTTTATTCCATGTATTATTCTTTTTAAGAAATCTGTGAGTAATAAACAGAACTGATGTACTCATTTTAATAGAATCACGGACCTATACGTATACAGAAGAAAATAACTGAAGTTGAAAGCTCTGTCCCCTGGTTAACATTTTTAGATTCATTGATGATTCTATGCTGAGGATTCTGTCTGCTTTTCCAGACGTAACAAGTATAAAGGTTATCTTTTGCAATGATTGCTGATCTTCGTCAATATATCTGATTAAAATGACACTGTTAACTCGAAATTTAGATTTCAGGGAAAAAATGTGATATATTTTATAAATAGAAATGGAGTATTTTTATGCATACTTCATAGAATAGGATGGTACACTGATTACATGAATTAATTTCTTTGTTTGCTGACTTTACATACACTTGAAAGCATTTTATATGTTGTGCCTTCAGAAGTAATGACATACACATACAGTTTCTATCAGCACTAGTCTTACTTCATTCTCCACTTGTTAATGTACATGCTGAAATTCAGATTAGTCATATCACAGAATCATAGAATGGTTTGGGTTGGAAGGGACCTTAAAGATCATCTAGCTCCAACCCCCCTGTCATGGGCAGGGACACCTTCCACCAGACCAGGCTGCTCAAATCCCTGTCCAATCTGGCCTTGAACACCTCCAGGGAGGGGGCAATGACAGCCTCTCTGGACAACGTTATCCAGTGTCTCACCACCCTCACAGTAAAGAATTTCTTCCCAAGATCTAATCTAAATCTACCCACTTTCAGTTTATAACTGTTACCCCTCATCCTATCCCTACCTCCCTGATAAAGAGTCCCTCCCCAACTTTCCTGCAGGCCCCCTTTAAAGAGGCTGCTATAGGGTTTCCCTGAGCCTTCTCTGTCCAGGCTGAACAACCCCAACTCTCTCAGCCTGTCTTTGTAGGAGAGGTGCCCCAGCCCCCTGATCATCTTTGTGCCCTCCTCTGGACACGCTTGAGCAGGTCCATGTCCTTCTTATGTTGGGGACCCCAGAGCTGGACACAGCACTGCAGGTGGGGTCTCATGAGAGTGGAGCAGAGGGGGAGGATTCCGTCCCTCGACCTGCTGCCCACACTGCTCTTGATGCAGCTCAGGATACGCTTTCCGGGCTGCGAGTGCACATTGCTGGCTCATAGTCAGTTTTCCATTCACTAATACCCCCAAGTCCTTCTCCGCAGGGCTGCTCTCAATCCACTCCTAGCCCAGCCTGTATTTGTGCTTGGGATTGCCCTGACCCATGTGCAGGACCTTGCACTTGGCCTTGTTGAACTTCATGATGTTTACACAGGCCCACCTCTCAAGCCTGTCAGGGTCCCTCTGGATGGCATCCCTTCCCTCCAGCGCATTGACTGCACCACACAGCTTGGTGTTATCGGCAGACTTGCTGAGGGTGTGCTCAATCCCACTGCCTGTGTTGCCAATAGAAATGTTAAACAGCATCCGTCCCAATACTGACCCCTGAGGCATGCCACTTGTCACTGCTCTCCACTTGGACATTGAGCTGTTGACCATTTTCATTGCAGACACCCAGCCAATTCGTTATCCACCAAGAGGTCCATCCATCAAACCCACGTCTCTCCAGTTTAGAGACAAGGATGTCATGTGGGACAGTGTCAAAAGCTTTACTCAAGTGCAGGTAGATGATGTCAGTGGCTCTTCCTTTAATCACCAACACTGTAAGCCCATCATAGAAGGCCACCAGATTTGTCAGGCACCATTTGCCCTTTGTGGAGCCATGCTGGCTGTCACCAATCACATCCTTATTGCCCATGTGCCCTAGCATACTTTCCAGGAGGATCCACTCCATGATCTTGCCGGGCACAGAAGTGAAACTGACTGGCCTGTAGTTCCCTGGGTCCTCTTTATCTTCCTTTTTAAAAATGGGGGTTATGTTTCCCTTTCCCAATCAGTGGGAACTTCACTGGAATTCCACAACTTCTCAAGCTGGATGGATCATGGCTTAGCCACTTCATCCACCAGTTCTCTCAGGACCTGAGGATGCATCTCATCAGGTCCCATGGACTTGTGCACCTTCAGGTTCCTTAGGAGATCTCAACCTGACCTTCTCCTTCAGTGGGTGGTTCTTCACTCTCCCAGTCCCTGCCTTTGTCTTCTGCATCTTTGGTTGAGGGGCTGGAACCCTTGCCAGGAAAGACTGGGGCAAAAATTATTTGAGTACCTCAGCCTTTTCCATATCCTGGGTGACCAAGTCACCCATTTCATTCTGGAGAGGGCCTATTTTTCCCCTCGTCTTCCTTTTATCACCAGCATATCTACAGGAACTTTTTTTGTTGCCCTTGACATCCCTGGCCAGATTTAATACTAACAGGGCTTTGGCCTTCCTAACCTGATACTCAGCTGCTCAGACAATTTCTCTGTATTCCTCCCAAACTACCTGTCCTTGTTTCTAGCCTCTGTAGGCTTTCTTTTTGTGTTTGAGTTTATCCAGGAGCTCCTTGTTCATCCATGCAGGCCTTCCGGAGGCCGTACCTGACTTCCTCTTTATCGGGATTCATTGCTCCTGAGCTTGGAGGAGTCAATCCTTGAATATCAACCAGGTTTCTTGGACCCCTCTCCCCTCCAGTGCTTTATCCCATGCTACTCTGCCAATCAGATCCCTGAAGGGGCCAAAGTCTGCTCTCCTGAATTGCAGGGTAGTGACCCTTCTGTGCACCATCCTCACTGCCCTCAGGATCTTGAACATTTCATGATCACTGCAGCCAAGGCTGCCCTTGGGCTTCACACTCCCCACCATCCCCTCCTTGTTGGTGAGAACAAGGTCCAGCATAGCACCTCTCCTCATTGTCTCCTCTGTTCACCTGGAGAAGGATGTTATTGTCAGTGTATTCCAGGAACCTCCTGGATCGCTTGTGCCCTGATGTGTTGTCCCTCCAACAGATATGGGGGTGGCTGAGTCCTTCATGAGGACCAGGGCTTGTGAACATGAGGATGCTCCTATCTGTCTATAGAGGGCCTCATCTATTTGGTCTTCCTGGTCAGGTGACCTGTAGTAAACCCCCCCAATTATAATGTTTCCTGTCTCTGCCTTCTCTTTAATCCTGACACATAAGATGTTGGTTGGAATCAAGTAAGAGATATGAGGTTGAAAGAGTTTGAGCCTGTACTTCAAACCGAAGTTAGAAGGCATAAGCATATCTGTCATCCAGTTTAAGTGCTCTCTGAACTTGTCATAACCCTGGCTGGTCAGAAGTGTGGCAGTGGGGAGGAGAGGAAATGCAGCACGTGTGTATGTACTCATATCTGATTTAAAATACTTGTGCTGGCTCCATCTCTGTGTCAGTTTTGAACAGGTTCAATTCCTGTAATGATTACTTATTTCAAAGTATTTCCTTTCACACTTTCAGGTTTATGGTGTCACAAAATGAACCATTAAGTCACTGATCTTTTCAGCATTTATGATACTTATGATGCACTAAAGTCAGAAATAAGTGACTAACTTGATGAATACCTTAAGGGTCGATTCCTGCATAGTCCTTGGAACGAAAAATGGGTAAAAGTGGTTTTCGAAGTAGATATCACCTCTCAGTCGGAATGGAGACAAGGATTAGTAATTTCTGAATATATATCTTTATTCATGAAGCAGTCAAAACAAAAAGAAGGGCTTTGCATGAATGCATGCTTGCAAAAATTAATGGAGGGATTGGTGATGGAAAATCCAGTTCTGAATATACAAATTTGTAGGCTTGTAAATTTTTCACAAAAAAAAATATATCAACACAGCCTTTTTAATGTATCTTTCAGAAAAATAATGGATTTCTGAATGTGCTCAATTCTCCCTTATTTCGGCAGAGTTGCTGAACACCTCTTTTATAAAGTATTCACCATCTCATTATTTGGGGCTCACCATCATTAGATTAAACTTGATCTAGTAAATGCCTATCTCCTAGCTAGGATCTAATTAAGAACACAATTCTTTTAAGTAGAACCAAATTAAATATGAAGGTTCAAGGAAAAACTCTTAAAATTTAATGAAAATTTTCTTATAGTATATACATTGTGAAGACTTTGCCTTCAATCCCACGTGAGACATTTGTTGCAGAGTATTATTTTTAATGAGGATTTTCAGTGTACGTTGCATTTGGATTTTCAGTGTGGTTTCTCAGCAAATTCAGCATTTTGCCAATATTTAACAGTTCTCTGAACTGAGATCTAAGATTTAGAGCGTACATTCTATCAGGATCCTCGGAAGAATTTCTACATAACTAATGATGTCTTACTGCTGGCATAGGTCACGTTGTAACATTGTGTACCTTGAAGAAAGTACATTGCTACTTTGTGATGTTTATACAGTCTAACCTTGAGGAAGATTTATCCCATCACAACCTATGTTAGTTTTATCCTGCAGCTACTTTCATAGTTTCAGTCTTTGAGAAGCCTGCAG